TTTTTCCTTGTGTGTTAATGTAGAAGCTGTTGTGCTGAGGCTTTTTGCAGACATAACTTTTATAGAAGCTGTGTTAGTAGGAAAGCTTACTAATTGAACTTATTACTTACTACACCCCTTCCTAATCTTTAGTAATTTTATGTCACATGTTTATCCCCATTTGTACTTAACTGGAAGAGAAGGAAATGTTTTTCAACTTTAGTCTCAGAGTATGAGCTACCAAATTCCAAAGAAGGAAGTACCAGGAATGGAACATGGATGCTAATCTTAAAATTTCTATGCCAAACCAATTAAAGAAGGCTGTGTGAGAATGTTATACTCCAGATAGCATCACCAGATACCTTACACTACTGTATTTGTTTGAATGAAAAATAATGCCAATAACCCAAAGACTGCTCAAGATCACAGGGATGAAATTAGTGGTAGAGCTGAGATTAGTCCAATTGGAAAATCAATACCTTAGGGTAAAATGATAGGATAATTAATTACATGATATTAACCTGATTCCAGAAGTGACCTAGAAGCAATCAAAAGTATGTGGGATTTTGTAACGTTACGTTAAATAAAAGCTTGACTGTTGAATACATTTAAATGGACATTCTGTGTATTAAAGTTCTTTCCATAAAACTAGTTGGTAGTGACACCCCATTAGAAGGTTTGGGAGAGCAATAAATTCATTATAGGGATGCTTTTTGCCACTTGTTTCTAATTCTTTAATAACATAAAAATAATAAATTAATAATTTCAGTAATTTTATAACAGTTGTATGTCCATCTAAATGCTGTCTCCTTCTGTAGTGATAATTTTAGGTTAATATGTTGACAGCATGCATATCAAAATGAAATTCATCCCCCTTACTTCTATGTCATTGCTTTAACACTCTCTTTCATGCACTGTTCACCCTTCTGCTGCTTATCTCTGTGCTTTTTTAAGTTTTTGACTTTATAGAGGGCTTACTGGAGTCTTGGTAAAGGAAGTGCTGTGGTTGTGTATCATCATACATCTCTTAATTCATAATCTGGCTAGATTTTGCCAGACCTATTTTAGAATGGTGCCAAGGCAGTTCAGACAAACCATCTCTGTGCTTGAGACAAAAGGAGTGATGTGTATATTGTGAAGTTGTGTGGTCATGTGTAAGGCTTTGTGTGCTCTGGTGAAATGTTGGCAGATGGAAGAGTAGTAGAACAAAATCCCATGGCTATTTCTGCAGAGCAACATCACTGATAGAACATTACTTATTGGTTTGACAGCCTATGATCAGCAAGTCAGGAATACAAAAGGATAAGGAAAAAACCTCAGTCACCAGGTGTAATCGCACTTTCTGAGGTATTTGTAGAGTGGTCATCCTGGGATTGCTGTGACAAGACTGCAATGAGATATCCTCTTGTTGTTAACAGATAGAAATAGACCCCACATTCTTGAAAAATTATTTATTCTTCCTAAATAAGCCCAACTCTGCTAAATTTTATCATAAAGTTATATAATTTTTTTCATATAGGCCATTTTCTTCTGCAGTGTGATTCAGAATGAAGATAACCTTCCACGCAGATTGTGTTTTTAACAAGAAGTTTTACTGCAAAGTAAATTTACACTGTAACTAAATGAATGTTGAAAGTTAGCTACACTGATGGAATGATTAAAATAGTCTCATAAAAGTTTGAGTGTAGGGAGACAGCGCATTGACACAGCTATGACTCAAAACATATTTTTTATCTGTCCTTCTGCATCTGCTGCTATAACAAACATGCCTGCTGTGCAATCAGCTTTTATTTCTTAAGCTTTGAATTTTAGCAATGACTGTCGTAGCACTGGTTTTGGGGTTCCTGGGTCAGGCATACAGTGAAAGATTATGGGAAGCTGTATTTCTATTCATGGACTTGGGGAACTTCAAAAAAACCACATCTCTGCTGATACCCAACTGTGGAACCTAAATATGAAAATACCTGTTCTTGTCAATTGTTCTGTTGATGCTGCTTGCACAGTGATAGCATGGAGAATCATTGGCAATAAAGGCACATGAACCTGGTACTGGAGACGAGATGACTGGAAGCAAGGAGTGGCATGATGTTCCACAGACAGGTCAACTCAGATATAGATAACTGATGTAAGCTTAAGACAAAGATGCTAATGCTAAAGCAGAATTAACTTTGTTGCAAAATGATTGATTACTTCAGGCTGTCAAACAATTTATAGTAAATAAATTAATGCATACATGTGGATGTTATCTGTGCATTAACAGTAGGATTCTTTTGGATTAAAATGCATAACCCAAAAAGTTGAAAGGTAGCTGAGCAAGAAATAAAACAGGCTATGATGTCTACCTCAAAGATTGATTATTTCTGACAGGCATATAAAGCAGCTGGTAGACAGGATCATTACCCTTCTGGCAATAAGGAAACAGAGACAGTGCAATTTAGGACATTTTCTAATGTTAGCAAAAGTACATACCTAGAAATTTTGAAGATAAGGATCTGTATTTGCTTCTGTTCAGATCATCACAGCCGTTGTAAGCTTGAGTGTGGATTCTGTAAGAGTGGTCTCAGTGCTTAAAGGCATGTTGATTTCCCCTTTCTCCGGTTTGGGATGTCACAGCAAGTCACATACATGTCAGAGGAAGAAAAAATGAGAAGTTGTTGGTCACTCTGAGAAGCAAAGACTGGAGAAGGAAAATATTCCTGTTTTAATTTCATATCTCAAGAAGTAATCAGGCTCCCTGCGCAGCCAGGACAAAGATGGGGCAGAGAAAATCAGTCACCAAAATTTAGAGGTGCTTGGCCAAGAGTAGCTCTTCACCTGCACAGAAGAAAAATGCCAGCATGTGGAACTGAGGGATGGTACAACCTTAGGTGAAGGATGATTACCTTTCCCAGTTCCAGCAAATGAATGAGACTGGTTCCAGATCTAGAACTTTTGTGGCAAAGAAAGCTGAATGGAAAATATGCAACTTTCCAACTTACACCTCTGAACATACACATCCAATTTAATCTAAAAAGGGGTCACACAGGTTTGCTGTGTACATGAAGTTGCTGTTACAGTTTGCAAAGACTGTGTATGAATTAAATCATGGAGACTTTTTTTTTTCTGAGGCAGTGGTAGTTCCAGCCAGGAGACTAGCTGGAAAAACACAAGGAGGAAAAGAAAATCTCAAAACCGTTGAGAATCATATTTCTGAACTAAGAGTTTTGTTAGCAGAAAAGACAGAAAATTCCAAGTTGGAATATGTCTCTGAGGTGTCATAAGAAGTTAGATCTGCTAAAGTAACCATCAAGGAAGTGTCTCTGAAGACAGTGTTTCTTCTTTTTTTTTTCTAAATGATTTTTTCTAACTGGTTATTACTGGGTTTATTTTTATTTTCCAAGAAGGAAAATAAAATTATATTCTAGTAGTGAATAGGCTCATAAAGGAAAAAAGGGCTAGTACTTTATTTCAGTGAGGATTGTTGAGTGAATGATACCCTATGTAAGCGTGAGAGAAGTGCAAATCTGTATTTTCAAGCAGGAGCAGAAAGTCTAAAACCTTTTGACATGTATTAGAGGAAAACAGGAAGATGTTTGTGTAGAGGCTAGGCTATAGTTGAGATAAAATTATTAAATAAAAGAAAACAGAGCTACAGAACATACTTTTATGATAAAAGGATGTTTCTTGTTGACTAGAGCAGTCAAAAGGGCTAAGTAAAATCTTTCCTTGGTGTTTTGAAAAATATAAAAGCTCTACTTGTAATATGAACAATGAAATTAAGGAACACTTGATGATTAAGAGGATTAGAGATTTCTAGACACTGTGTTGAAAATCTTTTGATGAGGAAATATAGGAGATTTGAGAAGTAAACCTTATTAGTGCTATGAAGCAGATGTGTTAGAAGATCTGTTGAAGTAAGTGTGCTTTACCTCAAGGAGCCTGTATTTTGTCTTCTGAAGAGAGTTGCAGAAACACCTTCTCAAAGGAACTTTACAGCACAAAATCAGGTGCATATGGAAATCTTGTATTTCTGAAACAGCATTCTGACCTGGTTCCTAGTTCTGTTTTCTGCTTTCTTCTTCTCCCAAGGACCCTCTTCATCTTTTTCTGCACAAAGTAAAGCTGACCCTATAGTTTGTGTTGGATCTGATGTGGGACAGCAGACTATAAATTTATCATTCATGGAGAAGCTAAGCAAGAATGAGCAAGAATATTTAGGGGGATTATGGACAGTAATGTCTTCCCATTTTTCCTTTTTCTTTCCCCTTCTTTTTTCCCTAAAGCTTAATATGATGGGAGAGTCTGTATAATCTTTTTGATGAACTTTCTGTTGCACCTTGACAATGTTTGAAAGAGGACCTCTTTTACTGTGAATTCCTTGAACTTACCTTGTTACCCTATCTCAGTTATGTCTTGGGCACAATATACAGTATGGGCTGTATTTTGGTTTAGATGTTTGGTTTAGAGCTTTACAAATTAAAGAAATCAAACAATTACCAGCAGAATAATTTTACAATGTATGAGGTACCATTTTTATTTGTAAGGGTTACCATTAACTACAAGGAGCTTCACATGAATGATTTAATTTTTACAGAAATCATTCTATGTGATGGTGGAAAATAAAAAATTCCTTGGTTTTGAAGCCACTGTTTGAGGGTCTCACCCTAAAATTTTGTCAAGAGATTTCTTTGTTCAGCCACCCCAAAATTCATTATTTGCTATAGGAGTTGCTGAAGGTTAAACTTGGCATGAGCATTTGAAGAATTTAAAAGCACAGCATCCTGTAGATGAAATAGAGCAATAAAAACCAGCATGGTTACTGAATCAATATTATACCATTTCCTGTATGCTGAATTCCTTCATTTATGGTGAAAAATGCATGTTTACTTCTTATCTTCAGTAAATATCACACCTGTTTTTTCACCCCTCCTCTTTCCTCCTCCCTCTGTATCTCCTCCCCTGTGACAGAATCAATTGCATCAGTGGATAATATATAAAGAAGAGTTTTCAGTGGAGTTGCCCATTCACCCACCTTAGCCACCATGGGGCTAAGAGTGGCCAGCCTTTTCATACTCTGGCTGGCTCTTTCCTACGCCCATGAAATAAGAAAAGGTAAGCTGTAGAAATGAAATAGGAGCAGACTGCCTCCTGGAAAAGAGGGAGAGAATTAAAATACCACTGCAGAGGTAGAAGGAGGCAGTGCATTTAAATAATGCACTTAAATAATGCAATTTTAGGATGCTTTAAATTTCTTCAGCTTTCAAATACTGAGGCTGCATGACTCAGCCAACATAGGTTGGCTTTCTTTCTTTGGAGACATTAGTTCCTATATCTACTGCATTTATATCTAGTTTGATGTGCTTGGAAAATATTTTCCAATATATTTTCCAAAATGTTTTACTTTTCTTTCGATGTGTTGAGTCTTTCCTAGGTTTGGCAACTACTTTGCAGAAAGCACCTGTAGAAGTTTGAGAGACTCAGCAATGAGGGAGGTGGATGATTGTGCCTTCTGTTACTTGGAACAACATAAATTCTTTCTTCAAAAGGGAATGTAGTAACATTGGACAAAGCTAATATTGCCATTTAGAACATTAATAATCCTGCTGTAAAAGCTCTAACTTTATTCGTTATCAACTTTGAAGTGTTAAAGTGAAACACTTACACTGAAAACCAAAAATTGTTTTTTAGTGGAATAGGTGATGAATTTTGTCCAGTGGTCAGGTTTGGGGTATTGAACTTGGTCTACTGTGTCTTGAAATCAGCAATGAGAGGAAAGCATTACCTTGCATTTGGTATCCCAGCTGTGAGCTGCAGAAGAATCTCTGTGCAGCCTTCCATCTGGGGAGAGAAGGATAGCAGCTTGGCCTGATGTATCTGGCATGATTGATACCATCAAAGCACAGTAACCTAGAGGTTGTGTTAGCAGTTTTGCTTTCTCATAGTAAACAGTGCAAGAAAATCTTGTGAAAATGAGAGACATGTCAAATTTCCCGTGGATACTTAGCTTTTATGATTCACCCCTAATCTACAGTACCTGGAGATTTATTAGATATTGTGTTAACTTTTATTATTAGTCAGTATAGATGGTTGGGAAGGGAATAAATCATCTTTAGTTTTGGCTATTGCAAAAACTTTATTTTTCTTCCTATCATGGTTATATCTTCTGAAGAATTTCTGTTCTGTAGTAATAGAAATCACTACTGCTTTTAGGAAAATAAATAATTTCCTAAATCTCCTGTTGTGCACAAGTCCTTTCATAATACTTAACTTATTTGCCTTTTAGAGTAGGTGGTACTTTCTTGGTTTCCTAACTGTTTTTTTTCTAGTACTTGTTGATCAGATACTTGATCAGGCTTGAAATCTGTGGAATCACTGTGCACATAATTGCAAGTGATTTCTACTGTAAAATGGAACACATTTTCTTACATTAGCTTGTTTAGTGCACTTTTTTCATGTCTATTTCTTTTCATCACTTAACAGGAAGGACAAGAAACCACGGCCACTATGTCTGCAGCACTTGGGGAAATGACCATTTCAAAACCTTTGACGGAGACATCTACCAATTCCCTGGCGTTTGCGAGTATAATTTTGTTTCTGACTGCAGCGATTCTTACGCAGAGTTCTCTGTCCACATCCAGCGTACTCTGAACAGCGATAACCACCCTGAAATCCAGTATATTCTGCTAAAAATCAAGGATATCACGGTGTACCTCAAACCAAAACTGGTTGTGGTGGATGGGCGAATGTAAGTATTTCAGAAAAATGTGCTGGGAAGATAAAAACAGGATTGATTCTTTACACAGTTGTCTATGTACCATTATGGTAACTTCTACAAAGCATTTCCACAATCAAAAAAAAAAAAAACCTTTTGAAATCCAGCATAAAAATTGTTTTGGGGTGGTGCTTTAGTGTTAATCGTCATTCCTACGCTTGCACAAGGGATTATTTAAATGAAAGTAAGGAAGAGGTGTTTGAGTGAATTGTTCTTCCAGTTGTGCAGGAAACAATGCAGGTCATGAACCAGATCTTTCACTGGCATAAAATGACATAACTTCATTTGTTTTGTGGCATCACCCTGAATTTGCCTTAGCAGATGGTCTAGCAAATAATGAAAAAAGACATGCGTTTGTCTGGGGTCTTTTCCTCTTGTTTTGTGACAGTAGAGTGGCGGGTTTTTTCTGATCTTCATAAATAATTCTTTGAGATCCAGTGGCCATTTCTCAAGGGATTTTAACAGATATAACACAGGTCAAAATTTACACTAATTTATATGTGGCAATATATGTTTTTTCACAGTAAGCAACAGTGTTTTTCTCCTTCTGTAACATGGCTACACAAGAAACTAGTCAAACACCATTACTGATGCCAAGTATTGTCTTAACCTAGCCATTCCTATCATTAACCTAACCTTTCAGTGTGTTATATACTCACTGAAACAAGTGAGACAACTCATAAGTTAGGAAATAGGTCTGAAGATTCTGAGGAAACTGGCTATTAGTATGTTTTAACATAATTTTAAAAAAAAAGGATCTATTTTATTGTCATTGTACAACTTGGTTTAGCCGAGATTTCAACTTTTACTCTAAAGTTTGGAAGCCACTACAGTGAAAATATGTTCAAAGGTTGAAAATAGCACCCAGTTTTCCAAAGATCGTATCAGAATGCATAAAAAAATGACAAATATTTAAAAAATACATTGTTTCCCCAACTTGAAAAAGCTTTTTATTGAGTACTTGGATCTTGAACTCAGTAAAAAGCAAGTTTAGAAATCCTTTAAAAATTGTTTCTTTTAAACCTCTTTTTGTCTTAGATAGTGTTCGTAAAACAATAGTTCACTTCTGAACAGGTTTTTGCTGCCTAGGAAATTTATTTTTTTTAAAACCGAATTTTCCATATTGATCTTTAAATGATACATTATCCATTATCATGTAAAATAGCATTTCACAGTACTAAAATGAAAAGTGTAAAGTAGAAAAATGTATGAATTTGCCTTATGGTACCTGATCCACTGATTGAGTGAATGTGCTAGAATTAGAAAAAAAAGATAAATATTCCATGTAGTGGTAGCTGAAAGGTGAAAAGATGCCCAATGTTTTATGATCCCTCTTGAAAAATGTAATCTCTCAAGAATTCATTGCCCAGAGGATGAACAATGCATTCAAAAGTAGAAATAATTGTTTCTGTATTTGTACCTGGTATTTAGATGTGTAAGTCATTTGGCCATGTTAAAAATGTGTGAGGTAAGTAGTTGGAAAAATCCCAGTGACAGGAATTCAGGAGATAAAGCTCTCCCAGTCAAGAGACTGGTTAAGAGATGTGCATACACATGCATGAATCCTGATGGATAGCAATTATATTGACAAATCTGTAGAAAATGAACCAGTTATTTTGACTGGATTTCACTTTACACTACTTCTGTTTGAACAGACTCTAGTTCTCTAGATTTTATAGGATGAGGCTGCTTGCCATAATCCCTTTACTGCTTAATGAAATTCAGCACTTCAGTTTGATTTGTAAGACAGACATACAAAATCAGGAGAGAGATCTGGTGAATTGATTCTTTATCACCCAAAAATATCTATGCTCAACTCTCTGCAAAGTATGTTCTGTCACCATTCTGTCAACCAAAAACTAAGTAACTAACTACTGAAATAAATACTCAATTCCTCTTAAAATACTCCTTTGTTTTCAAAATTTTGTTGACAATCCCTATATCTGCCTGTGCTTTTTGAACTCTTTTGAGGAGGAAGTTCTTTCCAAAGGAACAATCATTCTTTCTGAAAGGGTTATCAGACGTTTTGGTAAAGAAAAGCTTTCATTTATGTTGTAGCTTCCTTCATGGAAGTAAATTTTTAGTGAGTTTGAATAACCTCTGTTAATAGCACAATGATGATGGATTTTCCTTTGATTAAGTTGAAGACATCTGACATTTTGGTTTTTTATCAAAGGACCTGTACCCTTGGGTAAGCTTTGCCTCTGAAATAGCTTTGCCTTTTAAAGGCAATGAGTTATTGTCCCAAGTGTTGGAGAGAGATATTTTATGCCTCATTAAAACAAGGCATCCTGTGCAGCCAGGATGAGGTAGTCAGAGACTGGTTTCTCTGTTCCTTAGGGTATTTGGCTTATTACAGACATTCATGTCAAGCCTTATGTTTCTGAACTAATGTAAAATCTCTAATTTTCTTCCTAGTGTGAAGACACCTTACTACAGCTCTGGTCTGCTCATTGAGAGCAATGACATTTACACCAAAATTTATGCCAAATTAGGCATGGTTCTGATGTGGAATCAGCAGGATGCACTGATGGTATGTTTAATCGAAGTACTTTTTATTGGTATTTCCTGGGATATTTCTCTATCCCAGTAAGGGAAAAAAAGGAGGAAAAAAAAAGAAAATTCTTTTATGTTTTTCCTCTTTCTTTCTATTACTTAGGTGGAGCTGGACAACAAATTTAATAACCTAACCTGTGGCCTCTGTGGGGATTACAATGGAATTCCAATCTACAATGAGTTTATCAAGGGAGGTGAGTCATTCTACCATACTGACAGTCGTCACAGAACATAGGGTGACAAACGTTGTACATAGAAACATCACAGGAGAGCAAATTTCACTTGAGAGATTTCTGTGATTGCTCCAGACTAAGCATCATGTTCCAGTGCTGCATTCCTGGTCTAAGGTTATTTTATTCCAGGTGAATCTTATTGTTCTTTTCTTGACTAACCTTCTTTTCTTTCTTCCCCTTTACATTTTCAAACATGGTTAAACACAATTCAGAGCAGATACTTGTGTCTGACGTGTGTTTGATACCATAGTAATTGTTTTCCTTGATCAGAAGAGTCCTATGAATCAGATGCTCCTTGTGGTCAATTTTTGGGGCTCAGCAAGTTCTCCAAATTTTTTTCTCATAGATGCAAGCTACAATTCAATTACATATGGGAATTTGCAGAAGATCAGCAAACCCAATGCCAAATGTGAAGATCCAGATGAAACTCAGGCTCTTCCAAGCTGTAATGAGCATGTGAGTATTCCTACTGGTGAACTTCACTTGCATGGACACATCCTTGTGCTACGGGGAGTTAGTTGCAGGGAGCTTGGAAGACTGTCCATTCCAGGGCAAATGATTGCTTTTCCTTTCTTGAATAACTGTTCAGAAGACAACAGTTTTTATACAAGATAGGAAGTGACCAGAAGCTCAGATGTTTACAAATCTCTCAAACATTATTACTCTTCCTCCTTAGCGTGATGAGTGTGAGAGGCTGCTGACTTCCTCTGCATTTGCCGATTGTCGGTTCCGTCTTAATTTGGAAACGTACATCCAAGCCTGCATGCAGGACAAGTGTGCCTGTAATGGCAATGAGGACTCCTTCTGCATCTGCAGCACCATCTCTGAGTATTCTCGCCAGTGTTCGCACGCCGGTGGCCGACCGGGTGAATGGAGGACGCAGAACTTTTGCCGTAAGCAACGATACAAATTTTACAAAGACCCAAATATTTCATGGATGTAGAACCGCAAAACATTTAAATTCATTACTTCTTTACAAAACCATTGGCGTATATTATAAATTTCATTCCAGGAGTACAATAAATTACATAATGTGTTCTCCTTGTTTTTTTTCTTATATTACACTTGTTATTAAGAAATCTTTTTCAGCAAACAGAAATTCAGTTCCCATTGTAAGACTGAGAGGGCTGATGCTGCTGATGACTGAGATAATTTGATCTATTTGAAACCAAAAGAAATAAATGTATGAAACAGGGAAAGCACTTCAGAAATAGATGAACATGCTTTGCCAGGTGGAGTCTGGCTTGAGACATCGCTGGCTTGAGAGGAATAGGGTATATGATCTGTGATTTCTGAGGGATTATGGATTTTCCACTCAAATAACTCCTGGTGTCTTTCTTATTCTTTCAGCCAAGACCTGTCCTGATACCATGGTCTATAGAGAAAGCAGCTCACCCTGCATGGATACTTGCTCACACTTGGACATCAGCAGCCTTTGTGAGGAACACTACATGGATGGTTGTTTCTGCCCTGAAGGCAAGTGTTATTCTACCTATTGTGTGTGGAAAAAACCAAGAGCTCTGGCAAAGAGGATCATAGCTAAAATATTAAATATAGTCAAATTATATCTTAAAAATTAGTACTGCTCTCCTCATTTTCCCCTCTGGGGAACATAACCATAAGATTTTTTTGAGGCAGTCATAATTGATTAATTAATCAGTTATTTTATAGTTTGAACATATTAACACAATGATATGTAGTAAATCTGCTTTTTAATTCTCAACAAGTGAACTTCTGATAATATATAGAAAATCAACCTTTTTAGGTTGAATAGTTCTGAGACAAAGGACATAATTTACCAGTGTCAGTTAGGGACTGAGATTGAAATTCTCAGATTTACTGTCAACCTTGGGAAAGATTATGATGATAGTCTTCAGAATATGCCAGAAGGACTGAAAGTCTAAACATATAACATTCTGAGATTGTTCCTGTATACTTACAGTAAGCTTTTTTATCTGTGTATAGTTCTATAAATTAATAGATTTGGATTTTCAAAGGTGGATAAAAGTGTTTTTCATGTGTCTTACATTACAAAAAGTAGAAACACTATTCTTCACAGTTTTGATAAACTCAGCGTGTGGCAAGTTGAGAGTTTCTCCTCTGTGGGAATTGCTTGTTTCAAAAAGAGCTGGAATAGTTAATGTTGTGTTTTATAGGAACTGTGTATGATGATATTACTGAAAAAGGCTGCGTACCTGTTAGCCAATGCTACTGCAAACTCCTTGGAAAGCAGTATGCACCTGGAGAAAACATTTCCAATGAATGTGAAGAATGGTAAGGATCCTGGTTGTGAATACGCTTTTCTTTGAATGATTGTAAGTGGGTCTGTGTTCTTCAAATTTCCACTTGATCATAAGAGACGTCCTGAAAACATTCTGAACCTGATGTTTATGTTGCATGTCTGTAGAACCAAATTTCTGAAAAGTTTTCTTGAATCTATGGAATATGCCAGGGCAAATCTTAAGGAAATGGTCAAAATACGGTTTTGAACAACCTGGGGATATCTTGCTGTTTGCTAGGTATACTGATGTTTTCAGTGCTCTCTCCTCCTGTAATACCTATGAACATTTTTTTTTAATTATTTCTCTGTTTATAGCACCTGTAATTCAGGCAGATGGACGTGCAAAGATTTACCTTGTCCAGGCACATGTTCAGTGGAAGGAGGTTCCCATATTAGGACCTTTGATGGGAAGAAATACACCTTCCATGGAGACTGTTACTATGTATTGGCCAAGGTACTGTCTACTGTAGGGCTATTCTCTTGTAGAGTATATACAAGTGTCTGTGGGCTGATATGTAACAGCTGTGAGTTATTGTTTTGTTTCATGGGGGTAAGGGAAGCAGAAATGCTCAAAGTTGTACTAGAAAGTTCAAGAAGTTCAATAGCCCTAGGGGGAAGCTGGGGACTTATTGCAATAGGTGATTAACTCAGTCAGATAGCTATGCTGACATTATCCAGTGGAGTCCTTTGTGTATCAAAAAGTCACTCTGGCTGCATGGACAGGTAAACTGCAAAAATTGGCAGATCTCAGGATCGGAAATTCTCAGTCAGTTCTGTAATAGCTGTTTCTCTGTCTGTTGAAGTCAGCTAGGGAAATGAGGTAGGCAGCTATTTCATTCGTCTGTCCTCAAAATATCTAGTGCCTGTTCTTCTAGAGAATGGCAAAAATCTTGTTGAACTAGAAACCATGCCTCTGAATTTGTTTGAAAGAGTGTTCAGCTGTAAAAACTAGTACTGACATGGTGGTCTTAATAGCTAAGGTCTGTAGCAAAGTTATTGTGGCAGATAAATTTAGTTTTTGTTTGGAAGTCATCTCGTGAGATTTTTTGGTTGGACTAATGGACATTTATTTCCCTATGATTGTAGGATACTGCAAATGACAGTTATGCTCTCCTGGCAGAGCTGGCTCCCTGTGGCTCCACAGACAGGCAGACCTGCTTGAAGACTGTTGTGCTGTTAGTGGATAACAAAAAAAATGTAAGTTTTGTTCTATGGGTTCTGCTAAATATGTTGAAAATCAGCATATTTCCCGTATTGTGGAGAAACAGTTAATTCTTCTGGAGTTGTTATTGTGGATAGATAAGGCACCTCAGACAGGCTAAAGAACAACTCAGGTTTCTGCCTCGAGAATCCAAGATAGACCTAAACTTAACAAAAGGTGAAATTCAAAACAGCTGACATTTTCCCCTCTTCACTCCTCTGCTCTGTGCTATATGATTATTCTCACAGTATTCCAGATATCTGGAAGCAAGAATCCCATTCTTCTTCCCCTCACAGTATTTTACTTTATTCAGATATAGTTTTATAGATATTTTTCAGAAGAAATCCTATCTTTGAATGTTGATACAATGCAACCTTCTCAAATATTCAATTTAGTATTCTGTTTGGTTGTGGTAATATATAGATTATATTTATACATAATTTTACACACATGGACACATAATTTTCCTTATGTATTTCTGGACTTCCATGTCTTTACCAGCATAACTAGAACAAAAGAAAACTAAATCAGAAACCAATAATTTTATCTTTGTGTGTGTACAGACTAGCATTTTATGAGGAAGTTTAGTAAACTGCTTTCTGACCATGCCGGAATCATACTAAACCATTTCACTGAAGCTGTGGCACATGCTTTTATAAGGAATAGGAACTTGCTACAGATCCTGAAGACCTAATATTTTCTTTTACTTGCTGAAACTAAAGTGCCCAATATAAATGAGTTTTATATTTCATTACTGTTGTATGCAGATGTGAGCAAAACACTGAATAGCAAGACAAAACCGTACTTGTATCCTGCAGGTCTGCTGCCATTTAAATTTTCAGGTGGTTTCTTCTTTTCAAAAATTTAAAGTTCTAGTCACAACCTAAATGTGCAAAAGGCCTTTCTTGTTAATTTCCCTTTTATTAGTTCCTTTTCCTCTCAGTACTTGGAACCTCATTGATTCTATTTGCCATTGTACAGGTGGTGGTTTTCAGATCCGATGGCAGTGTGCTACTGAATGAGATGACAGTAAATGTGCCTCATGTGTCAGGTAAGTGACACAGCTTTGTATGTCCAGTCACACCTGACTTCTCATGTAGGAATGGTTTTTTTCCTAGGCAAAAGTGGAAGAGTGGCAGAGGAAATTTATTCAGATTTGGTAACAATTTGGGGATGAATGTGATTTAATAGACATCTCAGGATTTAATGGAATCACTGACTCTGTATAGAGTGGATGACTGAAAAAAATGTCCTTTCGCTTGTTTCGTACCTCTTGAATATACTTTGGCACATAGCTTGGGAAAGAGGAATTGCCATGATGGAAAGTTAAAGCAGATAATTTACCTTGCCTGTGAAGAGAGGTATTTAGCACTTTCCAAATTTGACTGCATGGTGTGGGTATGCCATTTGGTTCTGATGCCAGAGAAGAGTCACTACAGGTAATCAACTTTTTAAATTAGTGAGGACCATCGTCATATCTAGTAGACCAGTGATTTTTAAAGGAAAAAAAAATAATAATTTGATCCTGGTCTCAGAGTTTTCATGACAGGTGATAGCTTAGAATCTAATAAAAAGTATTTCTTCTGGCAGCTTGTGTGTGTATTTATTGCACAGTTCATGTTTTGTTTTTCAGCCAGCTTCTCAGTATTCCAGCCATCTTCCAACTACCTTGTTGTACAAACACCTTTCGAGCTTCAGGTGCAGATCCAGCTGCTTCCAGTCATGCAACTGTTTGTGACTGTGGATCAATCAGCTCAAGGAAAAATTCAAGGCAAGTGTCTATTCAAAGAGGAAGCAAAGTCATGCTGTTCCACCGCTGAAGATTCATGTACTCTTTACATGAGAGATAACTCATGCTACTTGTTGATTCAAGAAGAGGAAACTGAAAGCAGAAACCAAATCATTGAAAGCAAATGGACTCAGGCAAACTGGAAATGTGGTTTTAGTTTTTCACATTGAAATGATCTATCACTCTGGTGCCAATACACAGATATTTATTAGAATATTCCTTACTTTTACTTCTATATTCAGTTTAATTTTTAACTATGCACAAAAACAGGGTTTTGGTGCCTTTTGTGTTCTCAATATCATCAGAAAGCGTAAAAGTACAGGTTGAGGTGGTAATCTCTTGAGGCAGAGATATCTTCATGAAGACTATTCTTCTCAAGAGGTTGAAGATTTAAAATAGGCCTCCTAAAACTTCAGTATTTGTCATTTGCATCAATATTGAGGTGGAATAATCAGCTCTATGAACTTCTGTTTCTAGAGTTTGTGACCAGTTGTGCCTTTTCTTTGACCTTTTAATATGAGAATGAGTAATGATTATGTAAAATTTTTACCTTCTTTTCCAATAGGTCTTTGTGGAAACTTTAATGCAATGGAAGGTGATGATTTTAAAACAACCAGTGGGCTGGTAGAAGCTACAGGATCTACCTTTGCTAACACATGGAAAGCTCAGTCCATCTGTACAGACCAGGTGGAAAAGCTGGAAGACCCCTGCAGTCTCAGCATTGAAAGTGGTAAGTAGATGAATAAGTCAGATGGTTGGCTTTTGCCAGAATGAGCAGTGTTTACTGGATATTACTGCAACAGGGGTGTAAAAGTTGTAGTGTGGCATTGAAGATTTTTTAGATTAATATCTGCATGTATGTTCACATATAAGCACTCATTTCCCATCAAACTGAAGTGAAAGTTTAAGGGGTGATTGTAGAAGGGTCCTGAGCCAGAAGATTGGGAAGCAAGATCGTTAATTTATATTATTTGTAAAGGTGCTTGTATTTCCTAGTATTGTTTATCCTTATGTATAACTTAGCTTCAGGGTACTCAAATGGAAAGGGCTGTCACAATTCTATGTAAAATAGTTACAGCAGTGGGATACAGGTTTTGATTTTATTATTACATGTTTCTGAATCGAAGAACAGAAATATATGTGCAATGATTGCATGTAGTTTCTTCACTCCCCAAAATGCACAGTTTTCTAATTTGTATTGTTGCACTGCATTTATCTGTCAGCGTAACTAGACGTGGCACAAGCAAGATAAGGAAATGTGATGAATTTCTCTTTTTTTTTTTTCAGCAAATTATGCTGAGCATTGGTGTTCTTTGCTGAAAAACCCAGAAGGTCCTTTTGCAACATGTCACTTAGTCATTGATCCTTCAGAATACTATAAGGTATTATAATCTTGCACGCTTTTTAGTACTGCATTATTTCAGATGGTTAACTGTAGACATTTAACATTGTTCAAATGTTTGAGACATTACCCGGTAGCTTGCCCATAAGTGCTGGTGAACTCTTTGCATTGACTGACTCAAGCAGCATAGCGTGCATCCAAAGTATCTTCTCTGACGAGATTCTTACAGGGTGCTGCTGAAGTTTGCTTTCTTATGTTTTGTATTTAATGAACATTTTTATTAGATTGGATATTTGAACTGAAAAGAAGATTCAAGAAATGCAAATGTGCACCAACTACCCTTAAACATTAGCTGCTATAAAGTCATGAAAAAAAAGTTTCCTATATATTGGTTGGAATGTAACACCAAATCCTTTTCATGCCAGAATCTCCATGATTTTTTTTCCCCTGTGCTCGTCAGTGTTGAGCATAAGTGAGGCTTACCTGAGGAAAAAGAAGAAATACCTAAGTTATTTCTTATACTTGGAACTCAGTCTGAGCTCAAATGTTGTGAAGATCTTCAAAGATCTGGTTAATATTTTACCATTATGATTTCTAATTTTTGTGGTTCTCTGCATTTCTAATTTGTAACTGAGAAAGAACAGTATCAATATCCTTTGAAAAAGGTGTTGTCAGGAGGCTGGATATTTTTTAAAAGTTCAAGAGGCTTGGCTTAGGTTAGAGTAAGCATCCAAACATTTTCATTGTGTATGAAATGAAGCAGCACTTTCAGTCTCTGGTCTTTGTCCATTCCTTCCATTGTTCTCTGGTCATGGGAATTAATAAACAACATCAGGAAAAATACACAAGATATTTTGTAGCAACCCAGTTGCAATTGCCCACTGGTTCCCTGTGAGCTTACTGACCCTTTCGTTCTTTTTTTCAGAAATGTAAATATGACACATGCCTCTGTGAAGATAATGAAGAATGCTTGTGTGCTGCCCTGTCCTCTTATTCGAGAGCCTGTGCTTTCAAAGGAATCATACTGGAAGGCTGGAGAGACAGTGTCTGCAGTAAGTAGTGGAACTGTAATCCCTGTGGAATTAATTAGCCATGAGAAACAAGCAGGATCTCTCTGAATTTGGTTGTTAGTGATCTCAATGTTAAGGGATTTGGAGTATCTTAGAAATGTCTAATGGACCTAAAAGAGACAACACTTATAATGTTTACTAATTCGTGTTATATTCTTTAGCTGTAATTTGTTCATGACATATTTAAAAGTAGAAAGCATTATTTTTCACTTTCACCTTCTTCCCCTAGTTTAAGTAATAATGTAATTTCTTTGATTAATGGAATCCCAGCCATCAGGGTTGTTACGTTGCCTTTGTTTATCAGTGTCTTTTTTTATCATCATGCTAGCTTTTCATCAACAGCATGGTATTGTTGAGACCAGGAGCTTATTATATTGTGCTCTCTCTCTCTGATTATCAGTATGTGAAATAAATAGAGGTATGAAAGAAACTATTAGTAACAGTTAAAAATAAGTCTTTGACTGGTAAAGTTAGGTTAATGTTACTTGTCACTTCTGATATTTTTGTACTTTAATAAAATCCAAGGGAATGTTTTTATCATTACATACTGCACAGCCAAGGAAACCAAAATGGAAATGTCAAGGCTGAATTGTCCATCCTGCATCTCTTATCTATCAATTTGTTTATTTTCCCTTCAGGCAGTGAAGTGTCTGCCTGTCAAGGAAATCAAGTCTTCCTTTACAACATTACAAGGTGCCAGCAAACCTGTCGTTCCCTTGCTGATGGTGAAAAGTATTGCTTGCAAGACTTTGCTCCTGTGGATGGCTGTGGCTGCCCATCTGATACATACCTGGATAAACAGGATAACTGTGTGCCCGTCTCTGAGTGCCCATGTTATTACAAGGGATCATACCTGGAACCTGGGGAATATTTTACAAAAGATGGAGACCGCTGGTATGTTTTATTGTGGCTTCTTGTTTGTTGAGATAAAAGGCTTTAAAAAAGTTGCTTATTAGGTGTAAGGCGCTTAGCTTTTTTGGTACTTAATGAACATTTGTAATACATTTCACAATATCTTCATGCTGAGCAAAGTATTATGCTTTTGCAATTTAATTTATCAATAATTGAGAAGTGCAGCTTGCTTTGGAGGTGTGAGTACTGGCCTTCACAGATAAACATTACTTTGAAGCTGCACTGTTAATAGGACTTTGTTAAGCAGAGGTGTGAAAAGAAGAAGAAAGGCCAACTATATGTTATGTTGCTGTTTCCTTTTCTGGCAGAGACAGATCACTTGTGTTTTCTGTGGGAGGAAGATCCCCTTGATATGTATTTAGTATAGCATAGGCTTTTGAAAGCAACTTTCACGATTCTGTTGTATTTTGCCACGAACCTTGGCAATTGTTTGCTGCCCGAGTCATTGGTGCAAATTGTTGTTACCTTCTCTCACCCAGGAGAAGAAGCATACAGGCCAACAAATTTGCAGCATATGACCTGAATAGGCATGAAAATACACTGTGTATCCAAATGAAGTCTTTGATTTAAATTCTCATTTTTATCTGTTTCATTATTATCTATTTCCTGAGCCATCAAAAACTGCAATATTAAGGATTAATAAAGTGGCAGTAACTCCTTAAAACATAAGCTTTCTGTGCATTAGACCTAAAATCTTGCTACACTTTTTCTCCAAGTGAAAATTCATGACTTTGTTTCAATAGAATTGACTTGAAATATCAGTAGAAATTATGCAGAACATCTCTGATAAATACTCTCAAATTTATATAAAACAATCCTTAGACTTAAGTTGAAGAGACTGAGCTTGTTTGTTGTTTTTTTTTTAATTTCTACTTACTTCACTTTTTTAGTGTTTGCCGAAATGCAAAGGTCCAGTGTACTTCAGTGAAAATAAGAATGAAAAGTAAGTGACATTCTATAAAGTAAAATAAAATAAAAACCATAACCAACCTTCAAAACCAAACTACTTTCCTTTTGAATTCTCCACTTACTTGTTTTGTATGTTTTTTTCTATGTAAAGTGTTACACATTTTCACTTTGTTCTCTGTTCACTGAGCCTCTTTTTTTCAAAAGGATAGAGCATGTGTTCAGATTTCTGTCTCAGTAACTACCATATTTCACACACATTTCTTTTGCCTTTTCTTGACTGATCTAAGCCAATAATATACCTTTCAGGTGTAGAAGAATGTTCTTCTAACAAGACATTCTTTGACTGCGATGCATCCTCAACATGGACTTCACAAACACCTGTACAACTTAGCTGTCATACCCCTCAAACAAATCATGTATGTATTCAAGTTTTCTTCAGGTCATGTTTTCTTTATTCTGTATTCTCTAAATGACAGAGTGCTACATAGAAAATACAGCTGTGACTAACAGTTTATTTCTCTTTGGTTTAATCTTCCATTTTTTCTCCCCAATGATGTTAATCTGTTGCCATCTTCATGATGAATCCCCTTATAGTTTCCCTCTCCTCTTTCTTTTTACTGTGTCTTCAGTAGAGTTGTAACTCGCAAGGGAAATAGGATTTGGATTCTTAGACAACCAAAATAGAAAAGAAAAACGTTACCAACCTAGAAAGAAGAACCTTATAAAACTAATAAATATTAGGCTGTTTGGTTATAAATGCGGTTTTTAAAGTGTGCTTGTGAAGAAGTGGAATTAAAATGCAGTACATTATCATAAGGTAACCGTTTCTCCTTATATTCTTTAGTTCCAGACAGAGTGTGTCTCAGGCTGTGTGTGTCCTGAAGGTCTATTTGATGATGGCAGAGGAGGCTGTGTTGAGGAGAAGGACTGCCCATGCATTCATAACAACGAGTGGTATTCTTCTGGACAGAAGATAACAGTGGACTGCAACACCTGGTAAATTATAATTTTGAACTCTCTTCTAGAATATATTCTATGCCATGTATTAATAGTCATGTCTAGGCTTATGTATTACAGTGGCTGTGAAAACTGCAACTATCATCTTTTATTTTCAGGAATATTTATTGCTATCTGAGGAAACACAGATTCTGCTGAAAATACTGGGCCAGTAGCTACCTCTGTTTTCAGTAGGCATCTGGTGTTGGGAAAATGCACTCATTTTTTAAATATAAATGCTATCTAAAGATCTAAAGATCTTTAGCTGACCAGAGTTAAAAATCACGTTATAAGCTTAAAACCAGGCAAAACTGTTGAAATTGAGACTTGGATATTTTGCACATTATCATATTGTATTAGGCAGGTGCTTGGTTTGTTTTGCAGTTTTCCAAATGGCGCACTCTTGGTGATACCTAAAAATTCAACTTCTCTGCTCTTTTCTAGTACCTGCCAAAGAGGGGTTTGGAGCTGCACTGCCAATGCATGCTTTGGGACTTGTATGATATATGGAAGTGGCCATTATATCACTTTTGATGGAAAATTCTATGACTTTGATGGGAATTGTGAATATGTGGCTATTCAGGTAATGCTCATCAGGAGGGCTGAAATGGCATTTGATTGCCTTGAAGATCTGCTTTCCTCTTTGGTTTTGTCATTCTTTATTGTCTGCCATCACTTTTCCTGAGGTGTTCACACGTTCTGCTGGGAGAATTGTGTATTTCCAGTGCAGGCAGGCTGTGTGAATGTCACTTTTTCTTCTCATATAGTGGTCATAAACTATATGTAACAGAACTGTTTTATAGTGAGAGCTAACAACTCATTATCAGTTGCAAAATAAATCCAAATTCTAAGTTTAAAAACCAAACATACTTATATTTAAAAATATATTTGTCAGTTTGTTTTATTGTCCTACTTGCTTTCCCAGGCCAAGACACTGTTTATATGTATGCAGAGAAATCTGTGTATGTGATTGTGAGTCTGTAAAAATATATGTATGTAGGATCTCACATTTGAAGCAGCAGTAATGATTTGTACATTGTGAAGACTTAAATGATTGTAATTATTATGACATTGAACTAAAATGAAATATTCTATCTAATTTTCTCATGCTTATTTTTTTCTTTTTCAATAGGATTTTTGTGGTGACAAAAATTCCAGCGGCTCATTCAGCATCATCACAGAGAATGTCCCTTGTGGAACTACAGGAGTCACCTGCTCAAAAGCTATCAAAATGTTTCTAGGGGTGAGTAATGATACTCAGTGGGTATATATCAGTATTCAAGTATTACCAAAAAAGTAATGCTCCAAAACCACATCCCTAAAAGCAGCTGTAACCAGGGTTAGAGGCCATATCAAATTAATCTGTAAAGGTGTAGATTCTCAGGTGATTAAACCTCTCACAAACACAAGTGCTACACCACTCGTCATCTTGGAAAGTCATCCCAGACTCTGAGCTATTAGTGTCAGAATGAATTGTATTGTTATGAGTGTCTAATATTTTCTCTCATTGTAAAAGTTACTGTTACAATATTTCTCCTTTTATCTTTCAGAAAACTGAACTGAAATTGGAGAACAAAGAGTACAAAGAAATTCAGCGAGATGTTGGTGATGATGTGCTTTATTGGAACAGGACAGTAGGCCTCTACCTCGTTATTGAGGCTAGCAATGGTGTGATGCTTATCTGGGATAAGAAGACTACTGTTTTCATCAAGCTGAGCCCCGATTACAAAGTTAGGACCTGTCTGTCTTTTTCTGAAGTAGTATTATGAATAGATAAGGAAACATTAATATTCTTTTATTCTGACTCCTTGTTTAGTTTCTATATCCTCTTCACATTGATTAGCTTGCATTATTACTACCACAGCTTGCAGAGGTGCTACTGGGGTTTCTTACAGTCTATCACAATGCATTGCAGAGAATGCATAGGATATTATTGCAGTAGAGCTAAACATCTAACACACTCTGAGTTTGTGAACCTTGATAGCCAACCATCTAAAGTAATTTAGGGATGCAAACTGACAGGACAAGCACTTGCAAACCTACACGTGATCTCAACCCTGTATTAAAACCAAACTCCCTATGCATTGTATGGAGATGGTTCTGGTTTCTGAAAATCAGCATGCTGAATTGGAGACTATTGAGGCATTGTATAAACAGGGATGTACTATATCTTGAGAGGCTGATGGACCTTAAATAGCACTACCAAAAATTCACTACTGAGGGTAGATTGTGAAGTGCTTTCTTTCAAGTAAAAGGGGTCCCTGTAATTTCTTTTCCATGGATGATGAAATAGTGCTTGTTATGTTAGAAGCTTTTTAAAAAAACAGTTTTGAGCTGAATTGAATTACCTCAGACTTATATTAATAGCTGAGCTATGATAAATTGAGAAGAATGGAAAATAAATTAATTCTTCTCAGCTGAAAAAGGCTGGGCCACTCTTTAGTGTTTTAAGTGGATATGGAGACAGAGATATGGAATGTATACACTAGATATAATTGGTTTCAGGGAGGGAAGACATGGCAACTGAATAGTTTGCTGAGTACACAGACAAATAAAAATTTATTTTCTGTACAAACGATTTGGGAGTAAAGATGAAAGTCATCATTTATACAGACAGTCAGCTCTAATTTTTAATGATAATGTTTTGCTCTTACTTTACCAGAGCCTGTTTCTCACTTCCATGGTATATTAAAAAACTGTGGATATGTCAATTTTCTTTTCAAGGGCAAAGTGTGTGGTCTGTGTGGCAACTTCGATGACAAGTCAAACAATGACTTTGTAACAAGGAGCGGACTGCAGGAGACCAATGCTCTGAAGTTTGGGAATTCCTGGAAACAGTCTCCCATGTGCCCAGATGTCACACAAGAGATTAAGCCTTGTGATTTGAAACCACATCGGAAGTCCTGGGCAGAGAAAGAATGCAGCATCATCCTGAGCGAAGTCTTCAAAATTTGTCACTCCAAGGTTTGTAGAAGGAAGTAGATGATGGGACAGCACAGTGCATTTTTGTTACTGCAGCAGCAGAGAGACCATGAGAAATTAATGAAGAGATGGTTATTATGAATTAATGAGTAGAGGGATCTTTAATTAAGTCTTCAGTACAGCTACAGGTGTTAGCACATTTCACCTAACCTTAGTTAAAGTAGGCTGAGCCTCTGTGGCAGTGGGACTGTGTCAGTAGTGGTGGCAGCCCCAGCTGTACAAACCCATATTCATCACCACAGTTTCACTGCTACTGCTTTGCAAGTCAGCTTCATACATCTACCCTGTCTACGTCATGTTTGCTGCAGTTGCACCACCTCTTGTTGAGAGACAGTCAGTATTATAAGTTCTGAAAGACCTTACAATCATCAGACCCATCTCCTGACAGAAATGCATACTATACTTGAAAGGGTGCTGGTGAAGAGTCTACTGCTTCTTGTAGAATTCAATCCACAGAAAGGATCTCCTTGGAGACCACTGACATCATGCAGTTTAGACAGGCAGCTGCTGGTACTGTGCCTCCAAATGGCCATAGCATGCACAGTTTGTTCTTAACTCATAGTAGAAAAGTCACAAATAATTGTCAATTTATTTAACTTATTATATGTTTCTACTTCAGCAGCTAAAATCCAGACTAAATTTATCCTCTTGCAGTCGCAAGCAAAAAAATGCCTTGCTAATTTGTCATTAGGTAAACTCTAGATACTGCCAAGCACAAAATTATCTGCTTCATATTTGCTGTGTAGAGCAGCCTTTCTGACATTGCTCACCACTTGGTTGGCAAAGATTGCTGAAAGATAAGAATTCACTGGCATCAGTTCAACTTGGATTTGAGAGCACTAAAAATGGAACTCTGTTAGAAAGTGTGGGCACTGTCAAGGACTCTTATTTTTTTCAGTCATAGCAAATTATGAAGGTGCTGTATTTTTTAAGTCTGTTATTACCCAAAATATATTGAGCAACTTCAAACCTGTAAATGTATGTTTGTGATTTGGTAATTCTTAGAAACAGTCTCATTTCTACTCAGCTGAATTCCCATGTCTCAAGAACTCTCAAACTTATTTGAAAACTAATTTGGAGATGAACTGGGGCATTTCTTTCCCCAACAGGTGGACCCAGTTCCTTTCTATGACGCTTGTGTTCATGATGCCTGCTCTTGTGACAGTGGTGGAGATTGTGAGTGCTTCTGTTCTGCAGTTGCTGCTTATGCCCAAGAATGTACCAAGGTTGAGGCCTGTGTTTTCTGGAGAACTCCTGATATATGCCGTGAGTAACAGTTAAACACAAATGTATCTTTCTAGCTGCTGTCAGAAAGTCAGTCAAATAAATCATTAATACTATTGCTGCAAGGTCATGCTGCCTACACAATGAAATTTATTTTCACAGCATATCAGGGAACAAACAGGACTAGTAAATTTGTATATTTCAATTGTCTTTTATTCAGCCTGGCTTCTTTGGTTTTCCCCTTTTCTCATTTTCACTTTTCCCCCTTTCCCCTTTCTCCCTTTTCCATTTTTCTCTTTTTGGTTTTCCTTTCTATTTAAAGTCATCCTTCCAATTGATAGTTAGTGAACTGCAACTCCCATTACCTTTTTCCTTTCTCATTTCTTCAAATTATACAGAATTTGATTTTAGCAAAAAACATGTAGCACTCTTGTGTAGATGAACCTAATTAATGTTGTGAACAATGTAAGATAGTACTTTAATTAATTTTATTACCCAAAAAGTACTCAAATCAAAATTTTGAGAATGGCAGAAATATAAAAATTTTTAATTTTAAAAATTCATTCTATTTCAGAACTGGGGCTAATTGTTGTTTTTCAATGTAAGAAGTCAGTGAAAAAAAAAATTAAAAGTTTCAGTCAACTCTGATATATAAGTTAGTAAAAGCTCCTTTGTCCATAGTCATCCAAGCTGAACTTAAGCTGCATCCATAATGACTGATATGCTTGCTCTTGGCCTGCTGCAGGTGACTCACAACCTATGTGATACAGCAAGATAGAACTATTTTGCATATACTGCAAAAATTTTTAGGAGTTTACTAGTAGAAATCTTGGGCACCAGAGTTTTGCTGTACCCTAAGTTTAAGCATAGTAGCAGAAAGTCCAGGTCCTATACCTCAAGAGGAATTTTGCTGACTTAACATGTAAATTTATTTATCTTGTGCCTTTAAAGACCTGATCAGAACTGCATTTGGACAACCCTGTTTTTAATCAGCTTCTCTTTTTTCCCATCAGCAATATTTTGTGACTACTACAACCCTCGCGATGAGTGTGAGTGGCACTATGAGCCTTGTGGCAGTAACATCACAACCTGCAGGATGATTAATAATGTCAGCACCAACTTTACAGTACCATACCTGGAAGGTAATAAATTCCTTGCCATTTTTGTATTCTGTTTTGTATAACTTTGTGTACCTTTTAATGAGTATGGAATAATCAGTCAGCTTGATGAGATGTTCCTAAATCTCCTGTGTCTCCAGTCTTACATAAATGTTTCCTATCATGGAATTTATTATTTATTAACATCAGTGGGTGATAGTTAAAATGCTGTCAGCCATAAAACTGGGTCTCTGCTTGGTAATATCCTCATACATGCAAGATTATTATACCATGGTTATTTTTTCCCTTCTTAAGGAATTTCAGGGAAGGAAAAATCTTTCATATGGCAAAGAAGCAAGTTACTGATAATTGGGGTTTTCTAACCTTATATATGCATCAACTTATAACCTTATTTATGCATCAGATCATCTTGATTTTACTGGATTAATGTGCAGCATTCTTCTACCTTTACCCTGGAAAATATCTTTGATATCAGACACACAGATGCTGCTGTATATTGGGTTCTTATCGGCGATTCTATTTCATTTTTAGATGCCATATTAGTAGATGAAAGTTCTTGTGCTTGACAACTGAAAAGGAATTTCATGTTATAGTGACTGCAATGATCCAAGAATGTGAATGACTTTACAAATGTCTTCTGTTTTACCACATGGTAAAGCTGGAGAAAACAGTCACATTTTTGGCTACACAGTCTTTTGGTCTGGACTGGAAGCACTTATCTCTGGTTTAGGGATTGAAAAGAAATGCCTCAAACTTGACTTTGCTTTGAACTGCTAGTAAAAAGATGAAAAGAAAAAAAGCCACAAAACAAAACCCAAGGGAAAAAACCAAACCAAACCAAAAAAAAAACCCCAAAATTCCTAACCAAAATATTTTTTAAAAATCAGCAAACGTCTATGTTTTAAAATAGATTGTCTTAGATTATTAGAAAGATTTGGGAAGTGTCAGAAGGCAGATTATTATATAGCCAATCATCTTTCTAAATTATTTTTGTTGTTTATCTTCAATAGAAATGTAGAGCATGTCCTACTTTTGTTAGGACATCTTTATTACAGTCTGGCAGTGTAATGTGACTTTAAGTATCAGTTTAAAGTACTTCGGTTTAAACAGTACTTCAGTTTAAAGGCTATGTAGAACTCCAGTGTAGTATAAAGAGAATTTCATAAGAATTTATTTGGAGGTAGGACACATTAAATATTTTTTAAAGTGTATTTATATGAAAAATGCAATGAGAATTGACAGTCAATTAATCCCTTGCAGTGGAGTTTGGATTACTGACCAAGGGTACGGAAAAGTGCAGATAAATTATCAGTTTGAGGTGGAGATACCTGGTCTGTTACAGGCACGTAAACAAGTGCTCATGTTCCAATAAATGTATTAAAAAACTTGTTTGTTAGTGAATTTGCTTCCATATTCCTCACAAAAGTATTGTTGATGTAGTGATCTATAGAAAAACTAGGATGTTTCTTTGTCTTAAACTTACTAGCTGCCCACAGAAATGAATATAAATTAGTGGTTTCTCCAAGATGTTGAAATAGGTAGGAAAAAATAGCTTCCCTAGTTTTCATTACAAAACCCTGGCTCAATCCTCCTAACCCCAGTATTTTCAATGAAAACTGTTTAAGTCTTTTGGAAAGACTAATTGTTCAAGTATTGATTTGAATCGTTTTTGATTTCTTTCACTATGCTTGATTCAGTGAGAATCATTTACCTTCAAAAGGTAGCCTATCACTGAGTTAACTTCTTATTCTTTTTCTTCTTCTTGTATACTGTTTTACTTGTCATCAACAGGCTGCTACCCCAGATGTCCTAAGGACAAGCCTATTTATAATGAAGAGACGAAAGAATGTGTGCCTGAAGATCAGTGCTGGTGTTACATCGATGGAATTCAAGTTCCTCCTGGGCATGAAATACCCACAGAAGAAAACTGTACAATATGGTATATAAAAATTACAAAACCTCTTGCAGTAATTCAGGAAATAATTTATGTATGCTAAACCCCTCATTTACTTTACTGGGCTTCAAACAAATAGAGATGAAACTTCAGCTGAAGAGCTGGTATATTCTTGCATTTCATAATTTTCCATAACCATTCAGATTTCTGGTTGGTAGCCTTGTTATATAAGTGTGTTACCAAATTCATTATTTATACTCTTTGAAGTCATATAAATGTCATAATGGCATGAAACCTGGCTGAGTCTCTAGAACAACCTTTTGGTTCTTCATGGCTCTGGGAAGAGAGGCACTACTCTGCTTTGCATTCTCACTTAAAACTGGACTTCTGAAATCACTATAATCTGAAATACTCTATTCTAGCACTGAAAGAGATACTTGAGTCCTAACAGCTCAGTCATAGAACCTTGCTAATGATAGCACTTATACCACTGGCTCCACATGGTGACCCTTATCTAGCTGTAAGTTCACTGCTCTGAAAAACAGTTGTTATTGTACTGTTGCAACTTACAACACAATGTGTCTCATGATAGTTTTAAAATGTTGTACTTAAAGAATGAAAGTGATGACATAGTTTGAATGAAACAATGATAGACAATACTAGAGAATATTGTATCCAGAAAAATACACAGTAGTGTGAATGAAGATCAAGCAAGAAATTTCTGTGTTTCTGTGCTCTTGGCTCTGCTAACAGCTATCATAAAACATCAACAACATTTTAATTTTTTAAAATTTTTCTTCTAGTGTCTGTGGCCCCTCAGGATCCATACAATGTAAACCAGTTCCAGGTAAATAATGTTTGGGGTTTTCTACAAACAATAATTTAAAAATGCATAGAACTGCTAGGTCTAACTCTGCAAAAGAGTTAGTATTGATTTAGAATAATTCTCTCCAGTGCCAGTGAAAGTTCTGAACAAAGAAAATCGGGCGGCACTTTTGTTGAATCTTGCTGTTAGTACTTCTTGTTCAACCTTTATCTCATGTTCCTTCATTTTTTCTCCCCATGTCCTGTATTTAAACTAATGGATTTCACTATAAGAGTTTGCACTTCCTGAATATGTAGTTATTATGGAAAACTGTCAGATAGTAAATTACAATTATTATTTCTCTCAGAACACCTTAAAACTTAGTTTCTAAGTTGGTTCCTCCAAATGTTTTATGCAGGACTTGATTAAATATGTTCTCATGTTGCTTTAAATGTAAAGATAAATTAGCACAATATATTAGATCTAAACTCCAGGTGCAGCTCTGAAAAAGCATGCATAACTCATGTAAATGGTCTCTTTTCCATAAGTATTTTGCCTTTGCCTCTTACCCGGTAGTAGAAAAATTGCACAGTAAAGCTCTTTCTTGCAGGGTGTCCTTGTGTCATCAATGGAACGAGTTATCAAGTGGGTCAGACTGTGGCACAAGTACAGGATGGTGACATATGTATAACATACATTTGTGCAGAAAATGGTTCTGTGGTTCCAGATAAAATCTACCCTTGTCCAACATCTTCTTCACCTACAGTCCTTTCAACCTCATTTCCTACCAGTACTCTTACCACCACAGGTAAATCTTCAACAGAGATGTGATTTAAAAATTGTTTTCTTTAAGAAAAGTATTTTAAATATTGAATGTATAAGTATATGGGATTATAGATGACACAGAGCAATGCTTATGACACAGATAGAGCAACACAATTTTATCACACTACGGTAAGAAAGATTTTAACATTTTGAGTTGATTTATTTCTTATAGAAGAAATTGTAACTATAAATGTACAGGGTGCCTTCCTAATTCTGACAAAAATGTTAGCATCTCAATATCCTAATGGGGTAGTAGAAATTTTCTCAGTAGTGTCAGCAAAGAATTATAATTAGGATATTTAAACATACTATTATATTTTTTGAAAGCTTGAAACTGATGGAGTAATCTCTTTTTGTTCTGTTTCAGTTACCACTACAAGCCATCCAGTGACTACAAGTAAGTTTTAAAATATCAAAGTTAAAAAGTGTCAAAGAAATATTTAAAGGAAGAGTACAATAAAGACAATCACTACAGAAAAATATATTTAAAACAAAAATAAATAATTTTTTATAATTCCAAAAGTGTTATTGGTATAGACAGAAGAAGAACCTTTAAATGTGTCAGCTTGGTGATTTTATTTTGATGCAAAACTTCCAGTTTAAAACCCTGGTAATATAGAACCAATTTTAAAACTCTTTTCTTTGGAAAGATGACAAATTTCAATGCATTCCTCTAGTCCTTAATGGAAAAAAAATAAAAAAATTGATCTTCTCAGAATAGTCTCTGTAAACTCAGATGTGAAATCTCTGTCTTCTCTTGCAGCTCCATGCTTTGGATTAATCTGTGATTGGACTGAGTGGTTTGATGTTAGTAATCCTGAAAAAGATGGTGGTGACTATGAAACATACGATGAAATAAGAAAACATGGATACAAAATATGTGAAGCTCCTGAAAAAATTGAATGCAGGGCAGAGGATAAACCTGATGTGAGCTTAGAGGAACTTGGTCAGAAAGTGCAGTGTAATGTTTCGTATGGACTAATATGTAAAAATGAGGAGCAAGATGTAACTATGTGGCAACTTTGCTACAATTATGAAATCAGGGTAAACTGTTGTGAGTGGCAAGAAATTCCCTGTGAGATTACACCTACACCTAGTACACCACAGACTGCAACTTCAACCACCACCAAGACAACAGTACCTCTCACCACTACATCCAGGATTCCCACAGAAATTACCACCTCGCCCACACACATCGCTTCAACCACAAGTGAACTAATACCATCAGTCTCCACTCCAGTAACTTCAACATCTCCAGGTATTTAACAGAAAAATACTCTCTGATTTTACCTTGCCATTGGAGAAATAAAGACCTGTTGACTACAAAAGGCATGTAACCTTTATAGCACATGTTGTGCTGCAGGGAAGTCTTATGCAGGTTTGGGGGTTCTATATTTTTGCTGGAGACAACATTCCTGGAATGACCGGTTGTGTGAGATAAGAGGAGGCCATGCTTCAGCCTGCCATCACTAGAGGCATTATCTGTGTAGGGCTGTGTAGGATTGCTTCATCAGGCTGACATCGCAGCACAGGGAAATGCCATGATAACCAGGCAGGAACATATTCCTGGGTATATTTCCTTCCCTAAGCACAACTTCCCTTCTCACCTCTTACTCCATGACTTAGTGAGATGTTTATGTAATGAGGCAGATACAGAAAGCCCCATCAAGATCCAAAGCACTGCTCTACCCAATCTCTTGAATATTGGCTGGTCTTTCTGATTTTGTGAGAATTATCTTCCAGGATCATCCTTAGTCTCTTTGCTAGGAGGAGGAGGGCCATGACTCTGTCTGTGCATAGATTTCAAGGAGTCTGCTTCCTGGGGCCAGAAAGGAAGGGCTACTGATAGAGGCCTTTCATGTGACAAGAGTGGGCTGATTGCTAGAGCAGCTCTCTAATGTGTAATTTCTGTTCAGAGCATATGGAGTCCCACTCATGCATCTTGTACCTTTGTCTGTTTTCTCTGTGCCTGCTGTTTCTAACAGGCCCAGGTTCATCGACACCGAGCACGGCATCCCCTTCAACAAAATCAACAACCACTCCCACTGAAAGACCAGGGGAGACTTCCACCAGCACTGCCAGCACCACGGTGCCCCCCATCAGCACCACCAGCAGCAGCACCCCGGGGACAACCACAACTGTTCCTGGATCAACAACACCCATCTCTACTACTTCGAGCACATCCACACCCACACCAACATACACCACCACTGTACCACCTCCAGGTACTTCTCTGATTGGGGCTCTTGTATGTTCCTTTAGCTTGGGAGTAATGGAGATCCTTGAACACCTGCATTTGTGCATCCATATGGGATCGGGAATGGGTATAACTACTGGGTATCTCCTGAAACATTCTGTGCCCAAAGCTGGCCTTTGGGCCGGCTGCTTCAGAAGTATTGAGGATTCAGGGGTCCTTGGGATAGAAGGTCTTGGCTTCCCTGATTGTACAGTGTTTCAAGGAGGTATTTCATCCTGGTGCCCGGCTTAGACAAATGCTGAACTGGTGGGAAATCTTGCTTTTGCTGCTGTTAGACCTCATTCTGGAGACTGCTAGGAATTTAGTCCTTATACTTGTGCAAGTGGAGTGGGACTTTGTTTTGTGGCAATGTAAATTCAGGCATTGTTTTGGCAACAGCTGTGCAGACTTTCTACTCATTCTCCTACTCTTTTCCCTGTCAGTGCTAAGGCTTGGAAGTAGTTATAGAGGCAGGAAGGAAGGATTCTCCTGGCAGGCTTTTGGGAATGTTTCACTCTGCACACTGTCACTTGATGTGAACTGCAGTCTTTGGTTGATGAGATCCACTATTAGTCTGGGAAGTCATTCATCAGTTTGACATCACACCACAGGAAAATCACATGACAATCAGGCACAAAGATATTCCTGTGCATATTTCCTTCCTTGACCACAACTTCCACTCAACTCTTACTCCATGTGATGGGAAGGTATTCTAAGGTAATGAGGCAGAGATAGAATTCCCAAGGCAGACTGAAATCATTATACCTCCTCGTCACTTATTGACTGGTCTTTCTGATTTTCTGAGAAACACCTTCCAGCACCATTCTAATCTTTTGCTAATAAAGGACAGCCATGACCCTATCCATGCATGGATTTGCAAGGAATCTACTTCCTGGGGCCAGAAAAGAAAGGGCTACTGATAGAGGCCTTTCATGTGCCAAGAGTGGGCTGACCTCTTTCCATCTGTGGCAGATGCCTCATATGCTATTTCTGTTTAGTGTGTGTGGAGTCCCACTCATGCATCTTGTGCCTTTGTCTGTTTTCTCTGTGC